CCTTATAGCTTACAAAACAAAACAGTAAATATGAAAGATGAGTGACATTTCTCAAAAGAGATCCTTCTATTTTCATCTGCTATTTGTCCCTTTAATATAGTGCACTGGAGCTCTCTAAAGATTAATGGAGTTCCAATTACATGCCACTGTTGTTTCACTTATCATAATTTGTACATGGCACTGCGAGCCCTTGTAGTCATGACTTTCCCAGTTTACCCAGAGGGAATATCTTTGGAACTTCCTACTTCTAACAACCAGGCAGCACTTAGTGCAATGATTCAGGCTGGCCACGTGAAGGTAAGCTGTGACAAAAAGCTGGCTGTCACCACTGAGGGCTCGCCTGGTGCTCTCACGCTTTGTTATGGTCAGCTAAAAACTGTAATTAGTAATAGAACATTTCAGCTTCTCCTGTGTATTACACCTGGGCTGCACTGTGACTGCAACTCTGATAGAGAGTTGACACATAAATAGAAACCTGCTTCCTATGCCAGTTGGAGATGAATTTTACATTTTCGGTTCCTGGTACATTTTTGGAAATTATGCATGAACATGGAATGAATCTCTTTTTTTGCTGTTTTTTTTTTTTTTTTTTTTTTTTTTTTTTTTTTTTAACTGATTTCTTTCCAGGTTAAGAATTCATCAGTACTTCTTGATTTGAATGTTCTGAATAGTTCTGAATAACAACATTACTTGTCGCAATATCCAATACTTGGTGTAAAATCCTCTTGATGTCTGATTACTCTCCATAAGGACCTCTTGCTGGTTCATTTCAAACTGTGAATTACCTTTAATTCATAGCTTGCACATGCTGCCAGATTTTGTTTTCTATGTTCCCAGGTGGCTGTCCCTGACACAGAGGAGATCTTCCAAAAAGCGATCAGATATTTATGAAAAGTATTTAGATGTTGAGAAGCACATTTCCACTTTCAAACACACTTCCATCAAGTATTATGATAATATTTGGGATTAGGAAAGTACTGGTATTTATTTGATTTTTTTTGTGAAATCCTGGCCCAACTGAGAGCTGGGCTGAACACATGTAGGAAAATCCTTGCTGAAATATCACAAAAAGATTTTCAGCTGCTTGCTTCAGTTTATGCTCCCTGTATTTAGCTGCTCTCTACTCCACACACAGGTTGTGTATCATTAAGCATGATGGGTAACAAAAACTCCATAAAGATAAAACAAGTTGGTTTTGTCTGATCTATAAAAATTTGCTGCTCTAAGTTTTTAATGGTTTCCGGTAGTTCACCGAGCCCATGAGAAGGGCCTTTTAATACTGTATTAATACAGTAAGTATAGGAAGTAATTTTATGACAGGGGAAGAATACCATTATGATTACATTCTTCTTTTTAGCTAGGCTTTTATGGAAACTACCCAAGACTACTCTGCAGTATGATTTCAAAACACAGGATGTGCTTGATTAAAAAGGTTCTGGGTAGTTTCCAACTGGACGAAGGCCAAATGCTAACAACCAAAACAGAACAAAAGGACTGGATGTTTGAGGATGACATACTTGCAATGGCAATTATATAACAGAAACCCAAGTCATGAGCCGAATCCGTCCCCTCAAATTCATGGAAGCTGACAGAAAATCCTTTGCAGTGCAATTGGTTGCACCTTATCTGTTCCTGCTTACTCTGCTTCATAATAAACTAATCAGAGCAGACTGGCTGCAAACTGACCGCACAATGCCCAGCGGAGATTTACAGTGAATTTGAAATTACAAAAAGGGAAACCAAGTGCTGCAGTTTTACATAGCCTGATTTCAGCTGTAAAAATTCACCACAGGACACACGCATGCATGCACATCAGTGTTCAAAATTTCATTTTCAAGATTTCTGAGTGTAACTTAGGAGCTGAGGTTAGTTATAAGTCCATGTTCTCATGTGCATAGGTGCAGAATTTAGAAAAAATCCTGACTACTCTATCTTCTATTTTGCCAGCTGCACTGGGAATTTGGTTTATTCAGCATGTGGATGCAACAAAGTATACTGAACCATTATAAAAAGGATGAAATTTGTATTTCAAAAAGCTTTACTTGGACAAGAAGCCATGCATTTTGCATCCCTCTACAATAAGCAACACATTGGTAAGTTAATCCACCTTGCAGTATGTCACATTCTCATTTTTCCCCCAGAAGTGTGCACCTGAGAAGTTATCTTGCAAAAATCATACATCCCTTTGGTCTGATCTTCCAGGACCCCAATGTTGCTATGCCTGAACCCTGTAATGACATACACACAGCTTGGCTGCTGGAGCAGGATGCAGCATCATGAAGGTAAAGTATCTCTGTTCTGCATTCACCTCTCAAGGGCCATGGTGCAACTCAGCAGTATGGTGAATGCAAACACATTATTACCAGCTCCTTTGGATCTCTAACAAAGCCAGTGGAATGTACAGGACTGTCACTAGGACCAATATAAATGGAAAAGATAATTTAAGTTTCACTTAAATTGCACATGAACTTTAAAAAGTTGGGTAACAGCTAGAAACATATCCAGGTAAAATGGACTCAAACAAAGCATACAGATGAACAGAGTAAAATTCAGCAAGATTTGATCAAACTGAAATATGGATGAGATATCCTATTGACAAAATATGTAATTGGTGGGGGATAGTTTTGAAGTCAGTAAGACCATACTGAGTGGCTGAGAGCGCAGCAACAGATGTTCCTGGGGATAAGCTGGACTGTCATTTCACTCATACACTGCAATATCCCCAAAACCAACCAGTGTTAGAGAGACTAAATCCTCCTTTATACAAGTGCAATCTGATAAACACTCTATCATTAAAATACACAATGACTGCAGGAGCTGTCTACCTATCAGGGTTTGTTTGGACTGCACTATCCAGCTCTACTTGATACCATTACATCTTTCTGTCCCACTCCTGCTTTAATTTCATTATGTGCTCAAGTACTGCAATTCCCCGTGAAGGTGGTGGTAACTGCACACACAGATCTAAAGAAACACATTGGCCTCGTAATACCAAGCCTCACAGTGGACTGCCTCCTAACCTCCCAAAGCCCTGTGGAAATTCTTAGAAGCTGCCTTAACAATTTTTCTGCAGTAAAAGAGAAAAAGTGATAGTAATGGGTTAGCTGATCTTCATTTGGAAGCTAAAAATAAAAGTAGCTTTATTGCAGCTCTGATCTCTCATGTGTAAAATCTATCACCTACCGTAAGAAGGCAGTTCATTGCAGCAGAAATCTGATTGATAGTACTGGAACTTTAGATCAAGCAGCAGAACAGAGAACAACTGGTTCATAAAATGTACTCAGTGTCTTCGGGTTTTATATCAGGCTTCCTATAGAGAGCTTTGGTCCCATTAAATGCACTATATACCACTGAGCTCTGAAGCACTGTTCTTTTGAAATTCGGCTTATAACTATAAACCATGATTGACAAGTCTATTACTGTTGGTTACAAATTATTGAAATATTGTATTTTATGGTACACTCACTAAAATATTTTTCACAGTGGAATCCAAATACATTTGCTTTTAGAGAAAAATAATTTTAAGATGCAATAATATTTTTTCCTCTTTTTTTTTTTTTATTATGGAATGTGCTTGATGTTAGATTTGGATCACTTTGATGTTCTGAAACATGAATGCACCCACCCTGTTACCAAGAACTGTGGGTACAGTGGCTAGAGTCTTCACAAAAAACCAAGTCTTTACTGGAAGCCAAACAGCAAAGGGCAAAAATTAATTTGTTATTAAGTTTAATAAAGAAATGCTATTCATGCAAATTAATCTAAATATCATTAGTATTCCTAACCAATTCTCATTTAATCAGGAAAAAACCTATTTAATTTTAAAATTTGATCATTCGCTGAGCCACAATTTTGTAAAGGTTTACTCAACCAACTGTATTTGAATGAGCACTTTCATGACTTGAGTTTATGAGTAAAGAACTGGACCTTCAGAGCCTGCTGAGAACATCAATGGATTCAATATCCACATCTACTCTATTCCTGTACCTCTCACACAGTCACAGACATATCATGGAACTCCAACAAGCCCTTTTTGTACACAGACTTGCACTAATAATCAGTGTATTTAAATTCATTTTTAAAACTTGCCAAGGTATCTCCACATTGATTTTTCTTCCCCCAGAGGGATTTTTAAAATTGTCTTTCATAGATTAAGGGCAACCACTAGAATAATTTTGAAGTAATTTTAAATGAACATATTGTATTTACACAACTGTCAGTTAAGCTAGTGCAGTTCTGCATTCAGTACTTTAGAACACTTAACACTAAAAAACACAGCAGCTCTGAACTGAAATCAGACCCATACATTTTCATAAGTATAAAACAATGGCCCACTGTTCAAAGTTGCTATTTAGCTCCTATTTGCAAATTAGAGAACCTGGGTTAAAAGTAAAAGACAACTCGGTCTCCACTCACTGCTACACTACTGCAGCCTTACACCAGAAAAGAACCAAATTAAAATGGCTTAACACAATGGAGAATTAGCTCTTTCACAATTTTCAACTGTCATATTTATAGATCATCTGTGATTTTCAGCTGTTTCAAAGTGTATGAAACTCAAGACCAGCTTTTCAACACCAGCTAGCAAAATCATTCTGTATGATGTGTTTTTACTCTCTCTCACTGTATGAATGTAAAAATTCCTGCATCATCTGTTCATTGGGTAGCATTTTCTATTGTAAGAGGCTTAGTATCTGATGAGAGAAGCATAAAAGTGATTTAATTTTGGCAAGCTGTAGAACTAAAATCAGCATTATTTCTGCTTAATAAACTCATCTTTCACACATACCTCTGTTAGCTAATGCTTAAAAAGAAGAAACAGTAATAAGCACTGGAAACATAAAACTGGTTTATGGCTAATTTTTAAGGACTACAGAGAACACCTGAACACCAGGACAAGATTATGAGCTGAGCTAGGTTTTAGTTACCTTTGGAGAAATAAGCTCATGCTTTATGATAAATTTAAAATGAGATTTAAAGCTGGAAATAATAATACTTACGACTTTTGTGGCACTGACTTAGTTGCAACTTTCCCTGCTGGATCACTCCACTCTGCAAACAAAGGAAACACATTTTCAAATGTCAAAAGATTACTGTAGAATTAAAATGCACCCAAAGCTGTCAGCCCATCTAATTATACTCGGTTTCACAACATGCCACAATGCATAACATGTAATAAAAAATGGAACTGATCTGCTTTAGCACCACAGAAATTAATTTTTTAGCCTTTGTTTTAATGACATTAAGCAGACAAAAAAAAAAAAAATACCCAACCCTGACTGTTAGGACTAGCATGATAAAGACCTACTTTGTACATTGTATCCTGAGGTCAGATGTTGGGAGTCCTACAAAGAAGAACACACAAAATGTCAGCATTAGTTAAATAAGATGAAGAAGGTAAGATATATCTTGGCTTGCTAGATTAAGGGCACTGGCATTGTACCAGCAGGGAAGGAGATGGCACAGGGACGGGATCACGGCATTGTTAAGGCAGCACCAGTGCATTAGTTTGAAAAACCATTAACTGTGGAGACACAGCACCACTGAGGGACCCTTCAGAGCTCAGGCAAGGGTATGTCCCCAGCTGCTGTAAACTACACCCCCCTTCATGGAGACAACACAGATTTACAGCCACAGCAGCCCCAGCCTTCCCCAGGCTTGGCCATGGATGTGCAGGAGCCATCCAGGGCATACAGTTCAGAACACAGCATGAATGCAGCTGCGCATTAAATCCAGTGCCATTGCCTTTCTTTTGTTTGATCTCACTGCCTGGAAATACAATAATCTTTTACTGGTAGCCACTGTATTTATTTGGACTGTGACACACGGGATTTGATGAAGACATGGGAAGTACATCTTCACCTGATGGGACCTGGTCCAAATCCAAACAAATCAATGGAATACAACAACTTAAAACCAGCAAAGAGTGTGGCTTGCAACTCTGAGCATGCTAATGGCAGGATTCTTGCTAGTTCACAATAACCAAGTTGTTTCCTTAATGTCACAGTGTTTTCTGGCTTAGCTTTTCTCTAGGCTCTGTAGTCCCCAGTGATTGTCATCAGCTTTCCTTCCAAGCTGAGTTTGATCAGTTGAAATTAAGGTGTTATTTACAACCTCATCCTACAGCCTGGCTCTGCTTTGCTGGAAGTGTTAGTTCTGTAGGATGTTAAAGTCATTAAAGCCCTCACTGCACTTCCTCTCAGGGCACTATTAGTTCCTAATATTATATTATGCTGTCAGTCAGTCCCTTGTGAAGTAAATAATGCCCTAAGAGTAAACAGGGCACTTTAAATTTGAATGTCAAAGGGATAAATTATTTTGATAAGCTCCACCTCTTTTATCACACTTTTTAAATGTACGTTTCTCATGAGAATACCTTTATTTTAACAGCTAAATTGAAAACTTCTAACAGTCCCTGTCTCTGGTTTATATGGCTGCACAACCTAGCCATATTATGTCCTAGATGCATAATTTGGCCAGCCATAATTGATTTAAAGTGATCTTCTGAAGAGATACTTCTGTTGTATTTTTTAAAGTAAGACTACCGAGCATGGAAACATTTATGTGCTTGCCTATTTCCTGCAATGTTAGCTCAAAAAAAAAAAATCTAATTTATATTTTGTATTGAAGTGATATGGTCAAGAATTTTAGGATCAACATTTAATGTGGCCAGAAATTAACTTTGATGTGGATCTTAAAAGTTCAAAGCCAATTTGATAGAAACAAAAAAGCAAACCCAAATGTTTAGCTTCTCTGAAGCTCTGCTTATACTGCTACCAATGGAGATAGTGTCAGTCTGCAGGACTCAAACCAGTTTCTGAAGGGCTTATCAGAAACAGAACATTAAATTAAGAGATGGTATAAATTTACCAGCTTCCAGCAGGTAAAAACTGTATTCACACAGTTCACCTTAAAGGATTCAACTGACTTTTACCCAATTTGCAATGAGGATTATACTCTTGTAATTGTGAGCCTACAAGAAAGATGGAGAGGGGCTTTTTATAAGCACATGTAGTGACAAGGGGAAATGGCTTCAGATTGAAGACTGAGAGTAGGTATAAATTAAATACCAGGAAAAAATTCTGCACTCTGAGGGTGGTGAGGCACTGGAACAAGTTGTCCAGAAAAGCTGTGGATGCCGCATCCCTGGAAGTACTCATGGCCAGGCTGAATGTGGCTCTGAGCAACCTGGTCTCCTGCCCAAGGCAGGGCACTAGATGAAACCAGATAATGTTTCAGGTCCCTTCCCACCCAGGCCATTCTCTGAGTCAATGACTTCTGATGCTTTACACTGCAGCAAGGAAACTGCAGTGACAGTGGCAGTGCTAGGACGGTAACAATGACATTCCATTAAAATAAGACATTCTGGGCACTGGCTTTGGTTTTGCTTAAGAAGCCACAGATATTGCTAATTTAATTTCTTCTTGATTAAGTATGGTGGCTATATTTCAGACAGGGGAAATCAGTAAGAGCAAAAACACATTCCAGCTTCTAAGTCAGGATATGATTGCTTGAACTAAAATGTTAAGCAGTACCAGTTCAATAAGCTATTTTTGAAGATCCTGCCTTTGGAAAGTAACTTTTATGTAGCTCTATGACAGAATGGTATAAATCTCCCACCCTGGGGAAGTTCTCTTCTCCCCCAAACACCATCAGCTCAGTTGTTCAAATCCCAGCATGAGAGACCTCTGGCAGAACCTGTCCCGGGTATGAGCCTGATCTCTGTCAGTGCTACTGGAATCACAGCCAGAAGGCAATAATGCAATGTGGGCTAAGGGCATCTTCAGATCATGCAATTTAACAATTCAGTGTGGATTACATGAACTAGAGGCACTCTCTAGGCAAGTGTGCCTAGACTCTGTGCCAACCTCTGAGGTGTGACACAGACAGATGCCAACATCTTCTTCACATACAAGGACCTTTTCACTCACCATAACTTGTCTATGCAGCCAAAACCTCACCATGCAATCAATCAGTAAGTGGGAAAAAATATCTATTTCAAACCTTTTCATTGCACAAATAATAATGGAAGAAAACTGAACAAAATATATTTTACTTGATGTAGAAAGACTCCCTTAATAACAACAGAGATAAAAAGCTCACTTTGCTTCCACTGGGTCTTCTACAGCTTTAAATAAGCAGTTCTACTAGTAGCACCAGTCTGATTGGGAATTTCCAACTAAAAATAGTATCAGAAATTTTTTTAAGTGGGACCAATTACAAAAATAAACTCTCCAGCAAAGAGCACTCAACAGAACAGAATGCTAATCAGGTCACTGGTAATAGCCCACTTGTACCTTGCTTGGGATAGAAAACTTGGTCTGCTCAGCCTTGCCCGGAGTGTGAATAGCAGTGAGAGGAGGAGGCCAGGAATGGGTCATCTCCTAGGGAAAAAAGAAAAAGTTTAGAAAATAAATTCATGTACACAGAGAAGAAAGAGAGCGAAAAATGGTCCCATCAGCTCCATTGAGCCTGGAGATGCAATTGCTCAAGGAATCGACCCCACCACCTCACAGCCTTAGGCCACAGATAAACACCTAAACAACCCCACAGGCAGGACTTCCTCAGAATGAGAGTGAGGACAGGTTTTATTCTTGAAAATTGTGACCATCCGTGTCTTCATCAGAGGGCAACTGGCTCCACCTCTGTGTTCAGCCTGCCAAGCTGTATGAACAGTGCCTGCAAAGCCTAGGCAGGAAGGGGGCCCTCCCGCACAGCACGGGGTGCAGTCCTGTAGGGGAGTGCATGGTGGCAAGATGCAGCACTATTTTAGACTGCAGAATGGCAAAAGAAACAAGAGGCAGGTCTAGAAAAATCTGGAACGGGCTTGCAGCATGAATGCCCAGTGTGGCAGAGAGCAGAGACAGCACCACAGCATCTTCTTGGGGCACTGGCCACAGGCTCTTGCTGCGGTAAGCAATGTCACAGCCTCAGAGCACTATTGATTCCACTTTAAAATGAGGGACTGAGAAATCAGGTGACTCCAGTGAAACCTGCCTACCAAACCATCTAAGCAAAACCCATCCATTTTCTATATCAGTGTGTTTATTCATCATTCGTACACTCATGTCCCAGTTATCTTTAAAGAAACAACCTGGGTGCCCATGGCTACCAAGCACCAGCACAAGAGCAGCACTCACCCACTTCTTCCCACTGCAGGGAGCTGCTGCCCCAGCAAGCCTGACAGGAGCACGCTGGGGTTCGTGCTCATTGGAGCAGGGGGAAAATCACTAGAACCAAGGAACTGCACAAATGCTGGCTTAGGCAGAGCTTGGAAATGCTCTTCTAATGAGTGTGTTTTATGGGAGACACTGCTTCTTTCTCACTTATCTTTGTTTTTAATTTAATAAATATGCAGAGAGGCAGTAATAGTTGTCTCTGGCATTCTGTTGCCTTTGTCTTGGTTGTTTTTCTTTGTCTTGGCTGTTTTTCTTTGCCTTAAAAGCTCAGAAAGAATTCTTTCTTGAGACAAGGGAGGCAAAGAGCAGAAGAGCATCCCATCTCAGAAATCTTGTATGAAATGGCCTGACTGCAGTGAACTACACTTCCCAGGTGCTATTACACACTGGTCAAACCCAGGGCTAGTCACAGCAAAGCTCATAAACAGGCTAGGTAACAGGACAACCACTCAAATGAACCACAAATAAAAACATAACATAATGCAATTGAGTAAGAAAATACAGGTGGTATAAAAAGGACAATGTGGTGGGTGAATTTTGGCTAAACACATGCCCTGTGTGGTTACAGCTGATACTAATTATTGTTCACTGAAGACAGAGCCAGCAAGTTTCAGAACTACAGGTGTCCCTCCTAAATTATGTGTCATAGAGGAGGTTAGGAGAAAGGAAAACTCTGCACCATGGTCCTCAGTCAGTGGGACAGGCAGACATACAGACTTCCTTGGGCAGGTGGGCCAGGCTGCACTCCTGAAAGAACTCTTGGGTTTCTGCTGTGCAGCCCAGTGCCTGTTTTCACTAGACAAAGCCCAAACAGCAGCAATGAGGTGGAAAGGAGCAGTTGCTGAATGGCTCATCCCTGCCAGGGTGTGAGGCTGTGGCAGCTCAGTGCCAAGGCAGGAAGAGCACCATTAAATGGCACTGATTGTCTGACCTCTGCACAGGGGAAGGCAGGAAAAGGTTTCAGCATCCTGTGAACTTTTCTGTGAGATAATATAAAACAAATCCTGCATGCCTTGGCCAAAGCCTTTGCCATGGAGGTTGCTTTGTAGCAAATCTCTTCATAGCAAAATGAAGAAACTGCGAGTGTATCACACAATTAAAAGAGGGCCAGGCATTCTGACTGAAGGCAGAAATTAAGAATATTCTTGGACTACAATTATAGGCTTGACCTCAGTCTCTTCCTGCCCACACAGAAAATGATGTACAGAGAGCCTGGGATTCATGGGGAGGTGATGCCAGCAAACGTTTCAGAATATTGTCTGTCAAAACACATGTAGTATCCACTGCCTACCTACTTGGCAGGCTGAAGTGTAAGCAAACCTAGTCATCTCCCTATTAGGGAACACGTGAACATAAAACAGTGGGAAAAGGAGCCTGCTATTTATTTGAGAAAATTCAAATATGAGGTAAGAAATTCTGCCTCCACTGATGTTAGGATTATCCAATCTCTGTGTTTACAGAGTGACCTCGTGAGCACCAAAATCTCTTTGTTGTACAAAGGTTGTACAAAGGTACAACCAAACAACATGGAAGCATTTCACTTCAATTGTCACTGCAATGAAAATTATTGGACAGAAAATTCCAGATAGGCTCACACATGCATAACACAAACATTTAGTGCTCAACATACAAAACAACACTGTGTGTGGAAGGAGTGATAAAATATCTATTTATCTAAAGAAACATACCTACATCTACCTACAGACAGGTACCAGGGCACTGTTGACCAAAGAACCTTGAACAGTGGTAGAGAAATTTTGAGTTCACTCATATGAAAAATGTCACTTCAAAATGTCTGGGCAGCAACCCCACACCAGCCACCACACAGCTGCATGTTCCAGTCACACAGAGCTGAGCTACAGAAGGACATCAAAAATGGCACTGCTGTCAGTGGAGGGTAAAAATCCAAACCCCACACCCTGTGGGGATGTGACTGCTCAGCTTGCTCCTACTCCGCTCCTTAAGCACAGATAGGTTACTCTGCAGCATCAGAAGAAAAGATGTCATTTGTTTAATCATCCACATGACTTCACCATTCTTTCTTGTGCCTCAATTTCTGCTGGAGGTCCCTCATCTTTAAGTACTTGCTAAGCTCTATTTCGTTTAGCTTGTGCAATTTGATATATTGACCTTCTAATATGTTAAGACTATAAAGAGCCACACAGATGGTGTGTGTTGTGTATGTGTCCATTAAGATGTGTCTGTAACCACCTTAGTTTGTAAATACCCGGGAAAATAGACAGGGAATTAAATTCATGTTTCTTCTAGAAAAAGTGAAAACACTTTAATCAATCCAAATTTGGAAGTATTTAGAAATTCCTAGAAGTAAAAATAATAAAAGCAAGCATATGAAACACTTTAAAGAGGAATTTAATGGAAACAAAGTAATCCCACAAAATTGAGTTAGGACTTATTTTCACATGGTTTGGACTTAAAATAATTCCAAAATCATGTTAACTGTTGGAGTGGGTAGATGACTGCTATAGAAGCATGCATTTTTTTACAGACCTGGAGATTAAATGAGAAAGTAAACCTGCACTGTTTCTTGGCTTAAAAGTCGCTGTGGTCCTCTGATGTAGTAACATCAAGCATCCTTCTTTCTGAAAATTATTTAAACATTGTTTTAATTGACTCCATGTGTTTCATTTATTAGAGCTAGACATGCTTGTCTCTTCAGCTAAGTCTGGCTTTTTTGGCTCTAAAAGCCCTCAGGTAAGTAACTAAGAAGGACACATGCAGACACGCGATCTAATGAATCACCCAAACACAAATACCCCAAGAAAACCTTCTAAGGGACGCAGAGGTACAAGGCCAAATCATGATTTAAATGGAAGGAGAGGACTGGGGAAGGATTTAAACTTGCAAGTTTTTAAGGAAGAGGTCAGAGAGAGAGTATTGAGTACAGGGGATATGGGGCAGATGGTAAATAGCTTTACAAAACCAGTCCCTAAAATAAATAGCCGCCTTCAAGATTTATTTCCTGTCTCTGTATTTCATTTTTCCATAATTTCCTTCTTGTTCAAAAGAAAGTGTACCATGTTTTTAAGTACAGATAAAAGCACTGAGCCAGGCTCTGAGAGGCCATTATGGAAAAAAGAACCATGACTGTGTACTCTGTGCTCCTACTGAGGCAGCTTCCCTTCCTAGTGTGCTCTGAACTGCTTAGCCTGATCTAATTTGGAGTCTCCCAAGATACAGGGCTCATGCTACTTCCCTTGGGAGAACTGAGGGGAGACATGAGAACAGCCTTTAATTACAGAAAGAGCTGTTCCTAAAGGAGAGAATAATCTGTTCTCCAGCTTTATGGAGAGTATGAACTTCAGCTGCAGCCAGAAAAATTCCAGTTAGAGGTAAGAGAAAGCTCTTTAATGGTAAAGATCCTGCAGAATTGAGACAGATTGCTCAGAGGGCTACACAGACTCCATCTGTGGAAGAACATGCCTAAGAAAAGATAAGCACACATCAGTCAGGCATGGCTTAGGCAGAATTGATTCCTACACTGGGACAAGGATGTGTAGTAGATGATGAGATTTCTAAGACCCTTCCCAGGCCTTTTTCTTGTTCTGTAGTTTTGATAGATCACAACTGGTTTGGACAAGCCTTACCCTTACTGCTTCTCTTGTGGATACCTCCACAAAAAGGCAGAAAAACAAAGCAACATTCCCTTTTTTTTTTTTTCTTCTGTGGCCACAACACTTGCCCACATCATTACAGGGCAGCCACTGGAGCAGGAGGACCAGCCCCACACACATCTCTAGCAATAAATTCAGTCTGAGACCACTGCTGCTAAAGAGATCTTACCTGTGATATTCTCTCTGTCAAATGACTTTCTATTTTAAATCTTAGCTAACTTTTAGTACTTTTAAATCTTAACTAAATCTATTGTTTTAAACTTCCTCCAATTTTTGGAGACCTAGCATGTTGAAGTTGCATCCAGAAAAAAATAATATGTGAAGAATACATGTTCTAAGGTTATCACAAACTTGATGTTACAGCTGGTGCTAAGCAACCTACTGCCTTGATTGAATAAAGATAGGAATAAAGACTGCCAAGTGATTTACCATTTATTAAAGACTCTATTAATGATTTATTAGTGTTTTATTAACTATTTATCAATGCAACCTTAGTAAAAAGCCTGTCTTGTTTCACAGCATCTTTCTGGTTTCTGCATTTATACAAACCTGATCAAACTCTCTCTGGTAGGA